GTGTGTTTACATTATATATATACCTACATACATACATACATACATACATACCTACATACATATATACATACATACATTTATACATACACATATACCATATATTTAGTAACTCTCACCATGTAATGCTTGTATGACATCCCGCACGAGATCCGAATGGCTGAGTGTTTTTCTGCTTTTCATGACTCGTACCACAGCCGCATCCACCATATGCTTGCGACTCTCATTGACGTCCGCTCTTGTCTTCTCGCATGCACTCCCTGACTCTTTCGATGGGGCCGTGACTGCCAACACAATCGAATTTCTTGTAAGATTTTGATGTATACCGGTTTTTGTGTATAGTAAACATATTCTATTTTGTGGCTAGGATGATTTACGCTGCCAAAATCATCAATATGTACGTGCATCAATACCTGATGATATTGATGGATATATATCGTGTTTCTCGCCGACACTGACTTGCACAGATACGGGTAAATATACGCCCTGCGTGGGTCAAACAGGGTACAGTTTGTTCGCCTGCCTCTTTCGAGGCCTGGGAGATAGTCAGTCATACCACAAAACTAGTAGTACTGCCAGCATCTTAGGACAAACACACACACACACACTGTCACGATGAACACGCGAAGCCGCGGAAGCAGAAAAGTGTTGAGCAGGCACCTATAGAACTGCTCGCCTGAGTACACATGGGCACCGGTACAATACAGGCAAACTTACTGTTGGGTATGCGCACCACGTGCATCTTCGAAGTGAAGGTCATGTATACAGTAAACCTATCGCCCGCAAGTATCTCTCGTCCCTTCGGGCTCTTTGTGAGTACCCGCTGTCGTGTGCACAAGTAGGTAAAATACGACACAATTAGCAACAATGTCGCATATCGAGCAAACGACCGAGTATATGACCGAGTATATAGCAACCGTATCGCTCTGCAGGTGTCGCATTTCCCTTTGAATCTTTGTGCGATGATGCAGTATGTGATAACGCGACAATAAGTCACAATGTCGCAAATCGTACAGAAGAGGTAGGTAACAATGACACAAATAGTAAAATGTCGCAATTCGCACTGAAGCAGGTAATAATGTCATAGATAGCAACAATGCCCCATATTGGGCGTGTGAGAGGTATGATCGTTAGTGCTGCGTGAGCATACTCGAGTGTAAATATCTACCACTCAACTTTGCGAAATCGGCCTTGTCATACTAATAACTAGCCATAGTCCATCGCTCAATGCTATGATTATAATGATTCGTATGCCAAAGTAATAAGGACCATCTTTCAAAGATGTCCAAGTAACTAATACCGCAGTTGTATCATTGATGAGTGAACAGGTTCAATGCATATACATGTACCCAGTTGTTCACCCAAACCGAGACGTGAAAAAAAAGGAACGAGCTACGATGAGAATTCACTGATGCGTGAACAGACTATAAAGACGTATAGCACGCACACAGAGGTATAATAAGTATAAGAAGAGAGGTGAATATGTAAAAGGGTTAGCATATTGTTCAATCTACGTATGCACGCGTACAGGTTTAATATACATACGCGTACTAAGTTGTCTCGGATTGGAACGAGATACGATGAGCCTTTCGCAGCGGTTGTGATTAGAGAAAGAAAGTCACTATACCAAATCAGCCAGAAAAAACGACGGTCCAGACAATTAAAACCGGCCCTTGCACGACAAAAAAAGGTGCATGAACAATGTCAATGTCAATCAATGCGCACTAATCACCAATTCGCGTAAAACATATGTCGAAATAAGCTGTTACATCTTATAACCCGATTACGTAGAACGTATTTGTGAAACGCTGACAAATACTACTGCACTCACAGCAAATTAATCGATAGCGTATGCGATTACACCTTCAAAGCTGGAAACGATGACAACAGAGGAGTGACTTGTAGCAGATGGAGGGAGGGAAGAAATAACTCGACATGTATGGTATAAGACAAGCTATAAGGGCTATTTAGCGACCCTGCGATTCGCGATTCACATATACTATAATATATAAAAATATAAATATATATATATATATGTATATAGATATAGATATATATATGTATATATATATATATATATATATACATACATACATACATACATACGTAT